GGGTTTCAAATGTACCCACATCAGACAAAACAGCACGAGCAAGAAAAAGATAGCAGTGCTGTCAGGTTATGTCTGCCAGCCATACTGGAGATTAGAACAGCTGTAATCTCACCACTGCTAAAATAGTGTGAGGGATGTATGTGTAGTGTAAACTGATCACTTCACTGCTGCTAACTCCCCCTGTCATGTAGTAGAAACACCTTCACACATCGACAGCAGCAACTGAGGAAACTTTGAAATATTAACAACTGCATCTTTCCTCTTTGTTTAAATGCAATTCAATCATTCATTCTAAATGTAATCAGATGTGGCTGTATTATTCAAAAATAATTGTGAGGAACTCGCATTGTGCTTTTTATCAGCAGGTCTGTGTTTCTGTGTCTAACTAAAAGTAATGTTCCCATTAAAAGTCAATTGGACATTCAATGGACTGTTTTTCTATTTAAAGAGCCACATCATTATTTTGTTTTCATTTATGTCAAAGGAAAGGTTTTTTGTTATATTCCAGCAAAGGAAAATGTAACCATTTTCCAATACAGATTTTCACAGTAAAGCTGTGTGTTAAAGAAATAGGATGATAGGCGAGGGAGGCGTGTGGTGCAGTGGATTGTGAGTTGGTATTCGGATCAGGAGGTCACAGGTTCAAACCCCACTGCAGTCAGCATGTCGTTGTGTCCCTGGGCAAGACACTTCACCCCAAACTGCTCCTGTGGGGATTGCCCACAGTATTGAGTATGTAAGTCGCTTTGGATAAAAGCGTCTAACAAGTAACATGTAATGATACATCAGTTTATATAATATTATTGCAGATGTATCAGTATATTTAGTTTTGTGTTAGATTTCTCTGCAATGTGTAGCAAGGCCATTTCCACTGCCTTGTTTCAATTATAATTTGTACGTACATTTCTCTTTTCTCTACAGAAAACAGTACACATTCTTCTAACCTGAAACAGTTAAGCAACATGGAGATTTTACATCAAATTCACATTCACATCCTACAACCCCAAAATAGAAAAGTACAAGCAGATCTGTTTCCATCACATGTTGCTGCCATGATCTCAGCCTGCTGCTCCCAATCAACGGTATTGCTCACCTCCCTGCCGGCTTATTCATATTCTCATCTACACCCTCCACAGCACAATTTACACTTACTGCCAATCCCACACTGTACTCCCCAAAATCAAAACATGTTGGTGCACGTTTTCATGCATGCAGTGCGGATGTCTGAGGAACCAATCTCATCCTGCATTGATTGAAAAAAGTACTTGTGTATCTCAAGATTTGTCTTCTCACTCTTTCTTGTATTTGTGACATGTGGAAACAATGAGGATGCTGACTGAGAGCCACTCATCCTTCATCCTCACACCGTCCCTTACAATCATGTTTTTTCACTGTTGCCTTAAAGAGGCCCTTTTATGCTCATTTTCAGGTTTCAAAGTTGTATTTTGTGCCTCCATGTCTCCATGCTTTAATGTTCAAAAAGGTCTTTATTTTTCTCATACAGCCTGTGCTGCAGCACCTCTTTTCACCCTCTGTCTGAAACCAGAGCCCAGTCTGCTCTGATTGGTTAGCTGTCCGGCTCTGTTGTGATTGGTCAACCGCGTAGAGATGTCTCGCCCCTTAAGCCCTTGTCACACTGTCCCGAAATTGACACCCGATGGACACACGATAAAGGAAATGTTCAAATTCGGCTGTGATCGTAGCAACATCGGGCCATTCGTGAGGGCATCTTAAGCCATCGTATGACCGCCGGTGGAGTTTCTCAGGCTCCGGCAGCAACTTCGTGAGCGGCAACTTCGTAAGGCCCTCGTGAGGGCATCTTGTCAAATCGTGTCATCTTCGTGTTATCATCGGTGCATTCACCCTCACTCTGATCGGGGCGAATGCCCGATGGCACCGATGATAACAAGATGCCCTCACGATGGCCTTACGAAGGGCAAAATGGACACACGAATTCAACACGAAAATGAACCTTCGCAAGGTCCTTCGGCAATTTTTTGGCATGCCAAAGATTTTGCCACTGCTCACGAAGTTGCTGCCGGAGCCTGAGAAACTCCACCAGCGATCATACCATGGCTTAAGATGCCCTCACGAATGGCCCGATGTTGCTACGATCAGAGCATCGTGTGTCCATCGGGTTATTTTATTGCACAACAAAATCATGTAAACAAACCAATTTGTGTTCTGTGAAACTAAAAAGGATATAATATATTATTTTGAAGGCGAGTTGACAGAAAGTTGTTGTTGCTATGGAAACAACATGACGGAGAAAACTTAATATCTTCTACATATAAAGACGGATAAAGTAAAGAACAAAGTCTGAAAATATCAGTACTGTATCATAGTACTTTAACATAATTGTTTGTGTTGCCTTCGTGTGTGGTTCGAGGCCATCTTCGTGCGAAATTCACAATTCCATATTCGTGTGTCCATCGGGTGTCAATTTCGGGAAAGTGTGACAGGGGCTTCAGCACATCACATATGCCGGCTATAAGTGCGAGTGTTACATAGTGTTGTAGAAACTCAGGGATTTTAGCCTTTGCAGACCATTTACATGCACAGAAACCAATATAACACACTACAGAAAAGGGAAACCCATGAAGCATAATATGGCCCCTTTAATGTTCTTCATCTTCCATGTTTCTCTGCATATTCTATTCCAGAGCATTCAATCTGTTGCAGCTTCTCTATCTCTTTCCCTTTCCCTCTACCTAACTCCTTTTGATGCAACATTTTCTTAATCCCATTTTATACAGTCTTTATATCGCCACAAGAGAAATCTAAAAAGGCAAACTAATGCTTGCCTTTCACTGATTAAATAACAAATGTTGGCAAATCCCATCTTGTTAAAATCCAACTTCTCTTATCAAATCTTCATTTCTGTAGCAATTCAACTTTGCAAAATGAATTACAGAACCAATAAATTAAGGAATTGAAGAAAATGTGCGCAGGCGTTTCTCTGAGCTGGAGATGTGTATTAAAAGCACTCGCACTCCTTTTGTTTGTGTTTGAAGCTGTTTAAGTTTGACTCTCACCATATGAAAAATAACAGTGGATTGATAGATACAGGCCGCCTCCAGGGCTCAGAAAACATCTTACACTTGGGCTCCTCATTGTGTGTGTGTGTGTGTGTGTGTGTGTGTGTGTGTGTGTGTGTGTGTGTGTATGTGTGTCAGTGTGGGTTTCTACTGCATGAAACATCAGCTGTGGGAGTGTTCAGATCTTAAGACACCTCACACATTCATTGAAAACTCTTCATACTCTTATGACTTCACACAGTAACACTTTTACCCCAGAAAGCTGGTCGGACTAGGCTCCAAAACAAGTATTATTGTTGATAAATCTTTTTTAAAGATTAAAATATTATTGCTTCAGAATTATTGGTTATTTTTAACATGGTTTATATAGGAAAATCAGAACTGGGATGTCACAAAGTACATTAACTCAAGTATGCTACTTAAGTACAATTGTAAGGTACTTATATTGTAACTTATACTATGTAACAGGTCTAACTTAATAATGTGCAATCTCCCTGTTAATTAACTAATAAATAAACATAACATTACATAATACTGAGTACTTACACTTTTAAGTAAACTTTCATGTCAATGCCTTTGTACTTTTACTTAAGGTAGATCACAAGCGCAGGATTTTTACTTGTAACAGAGTGGTTTTACTATTTAGAAGTGCTTCTTTAATTTAAAATAAGAGTGCTTCTTCCACCAATGTCGAAAACAAATAAATCCTGTCCTTGTAAACCAATATGTGTTGGCTTTGGAACTAAAAAACAAATTGAGGTATCATGGAGTTAGTATATTTCGTTTCGTTACTGATTGCTTCTTTTGGCCCCATGCCCAAAAGGAGAAAATGAGGGGGATAATCGAGCTTTATTGGCCACTGTTTAACCGTTGATAAGTGATAGTTTGTTTAACGGCTTCATTTATCTCTTGTTTAATTACTGGCACCATTAAGAAGATGCAACAGCCAAGGTGCTCCTCTGGCTTTGTTTCTATTGGCTTTAGATTTAAGGTCTCGTAACTTTTGGAGTTGAACCAGAGGAACTTCCTTTATTTCAGAGAAGAAAGGAAACTGCCGGTACAGAGACAGTTGTCTTATTTCAGAGCGGAAATTATATTGCATTTTGGGGGTTTCATAGAAGTCTGTTGTAGGCTAATGCTTTAGAAATCTTGATCCTAAAACAAAGGTTCATTGAGTTAGCTTAACAATAGATGGTGTTTAAATAGCGGGAGCACATTCATTCCAGACACAGCACTAAGCTTTCATTACTCTGAAACATAATAATTTCTGATTTAAAAAAACCCAGATTCTAAAGAGACTTCACTTAGCGACTGAATGACATTCCTTTTGCAGTGAAAATATATGTTCTAACAATAATTGTTCAACCGTTTCCCCAGTTGCGAGTTTCTTTTGCAATATTTTCGTAAAAAAATTATATTAAAGGCATTATAAGGCATGAAAATATAAAATATAGGAAAGAAACATCGGTATAACTGTTCATAAAATATTGAATTTTGGTCCAATTGTACCTTTTGTAAAACAAAAGCAAAAATACTAGGTATGAAAATATAAAATATAAAATATAGGAAAGAAACATCAGTATAACTGAGTTCTGGTCCAAAGAAATGTCATTACCAGCAACCATGTTGTTTGGAATAGGAGAAAAATAAACAGCTTAATTGTTTTTGCAATAGAAAATTCATTGTAGGTTCTGGAAAAATCTTCTTACTGTATTTGTTGAGGATTGACTTTCTAGGATTTCCAGCTGACTTCAGGTATTTATTTTTAAAAGAGATAGATGCCTAGCAATCTTAAATGTTCTGTTACTTCATGTTGGGCTATAGGGTTTAAATAGAACAAGGAGACAATACATACAACACAGGTGAGCATTTCAAATTAAAAATACTTTGCTATGGTTTGATCACAGAAAAAGATATAAACTCTTGATATTTCACAGGAGGGGTACCTGAATAAATGCTTACTTTTTGTGAGGCTTCCAGGGGAGGAGGTGCTGTGACACCATTTGCACAAACTTCCCAACACGGCTCCTTCAAAGTCAGCGGGCTGTATTTTCTCCGGATTTTGTTGACATGCAGTCCATAAACTCTGGTGCGTAGGGGTGCGTTTTCAGACACAGCTCCTTCTTCTGTGTTTTTCTGTTCAGCCTTGGTGTCGATCAGTTGTCTCCGCTGGCTTCAGATCGGTTCTCTGTGCAGAAAGAGAGTGACAGAAAAATCATAAGGGGATGCAGCTGACCGTCAGTGCCACTCACATGTCAACTGGTTCTGATGAATATTTAATGGCATTACACTTTCTTTCTTTTTGCGTGACTGCCATGCATGTCCTTACTGTATGTCACTGTATGTAGTGTTGCACTTTTTATCTTTATTACTTTTCTTAATCTACTCTTGGTTAGAGGATTAAATGATGTGGTTTTTATTTGCCAAACTTGCATGACATTTATTTAAGAAAGGAAAAAAACAGATGTGTATTTGCGATCACAGAGATTACATTTATTAGAAAGAAACCCAAAAAACGGTTTGAAAAAGTGGTTTCAACGCCAAATATAAAGCTAAAAGTCTGCCAATACATTTTTTTTTCTTAGAATTTAATGGCATCCTCGTTTATGCTAAATCAATACCTTCATTAGCATGAAAGTCGTAAGGTTATAAAGTAAATTATTAAGATTTCCCAATTTTTGCTTCTAGCCTTTTGGAAACGGGGGATTACATATTGTAACCCTAGTATTGTAACCCTAGTTATATAAGCACAGGCGGAGCCCTCTACTGGACTCTATGAGTACTACTCTATATCATGCTATGCGGACATTCACCTACTGAGTTGCATAAACGTAGCCGGCCAATCGGGGCGAGCCTACCTGAATGCGTGTGCAGGCCCACAGTATATACGCCGGCTACGCCTCCCGACTGTCATCCTACACCCTCTTCAGCGAGCGGCATAGGAAAGACAGGGCCCACAGGTAGAGGGCTCCACCTGTGCTTATATAACTAGTTATATATCACACAGGCTCCGCCCTCTACTGGACTCTATGGGTACAGTGGGTGGAGCCCTGATGTATAAACGCCCTGTCGTCCAACAACATCGACCCATCACACTGCCCCTGACCGGTCTAGCCACCGCACCCCCATTTCCTCCAATCCGGTTGTGACCGTGGAGAAGTCGGGGCCGCAGCTTGGATAAGGCCCACTCACACACGCTTACCTCGTGTAGAGTGTGCATGGAAAAAATAGTGCGGAAGACTCTGTATGGAGCTTACTGCACATCATGTTCCCCAGGTCCCTAAGGAGCATGGGAAAAACATAAGTGCACTCTATCCCAGGGGGGGGTCAGCCACCTACTGACCCACAGCACCCCCCCTCTCACCAGTAATGTGTTGCCCCGGCAAGCACAGACGACGAGAAGGAGCCAGACATGTCCAAGAGATAAAACGTTATGAAGGGGCCTGGCGTAGACCAAGACGCCGCCGTGCATAAGCCCTCCACACTCACGCCGTTGAATAAGGCTATTGACACAGCCATACCACGTGTAGAGTGTGCATGGACCCCAGTGGGGAAGGCTCTCCCCGCCTGTCCATAGGCATGTGTAATGCACTCGCAGAGCCATCCTGTCAGGCGCCTCTTGGAGAGCTTTTACAGCCACACCATCCCCAAAGCACACAAACAGCTGTTCAGTGTGCCTAATGGCAGCCGTGCGCTCTACATAACATGCCAGCGCACGTACCGGGCAGAGGAGGTGCAATTTAGCCTCCCTGTCCCCAATATGGGGTGGAAGATTAAAGCCACCTGACTGAACAGCCCTTGACCTGAACGAACTCCTTTGGCTCTTGGGAGGGGTTTGGTCTGAGTGTCGCCCCGCTACAGTCACCCCGAATCAAAAGGCAACTCGGGTGCACCGACAGAGCGGTCAGCTCGGACACTCTCTTGGCCGAAGTCATGGCAAATAGCAATGCTGTCTTCCATGACAGTGCTTTCAGGGAGGAGAGCTCTAGAGGCTCAAATGGTTCTGACCAGAGCCTCGAGCACCAACGGCAGGTCCCATTGCGAGGAGGAGGCGTGAACTACTGGGCGCTGCCTCCTGACCCCCTGCAAAAACCGCGACATAAGCGTTTGACTAAAGGCCCCCCGTTCTCCCGCCCCGGGATGTGCAGGGCCCTTAGAGACAACACATTCTGTGAAGCCCACAACCACAGGTTCTCTGCTGCGGTCAACAAGGCTACGGAGCGGACTCTGCCCTGCCTGTTGATGTACGCCACTGTGGTGCGGTTGTCGCTCCTCACTAGCACATGTTTGCCCTCTATTAAGGGTTTGAAGTGCTGTAGGACCAACATTACTGCCTGCAGCTCTAGGATGGTTGTGAACCAATCGCCCGGCTGCACTAGCCCCAGTAACTGTTTTATAGTTAACATATGGACTTTTTGCAGGCAGTGGGCCGATTCAGGCTGCGAAGATCCAGAATGGGCCTGAATTCTCCTGTCTTCTTGAGCCCTTGTTTTCAGAGGGTGTCGCCTCCACGCCGCCACGTCCCGATATCCGGCAACGGGGGCGAAACAAAGGCTCCCCGGTTTGGGTGGTAGCGGAGGGGTTAACGGTAGACCCACACGCTCCGCTGCCATGGCCATCACCAGCGGGAAATCCTGACTGGCAGACCTGCGCGGTGGACCCTCGTGGACGCCGGACCCAGAAGCGCCCGACAACGAGAAGTCCTCGTCTTCATCCTCCTCGACAAACGGGGCCGCCCGGCCCGCCGGAATGGCGAACACAAATGGCACCTCCTCGGCCACCTTCTGGTCCTCCATTTCCACCACCTCGAGCTCCTCCTTGTCCTGCGCCTCGTCCGGCGAGACATAATGCGCCTGGAAATGTTCCAGGCGATGCTGGCGTCTGAGCCGCGGGAGCGCACGACAGGCACTGCGGAGAATGTTTGATGCCCTCCACAGTGTGGTCGGGCCCCAAACACTCGAAGCACAAGCGGTGGGGATCAGCGCCCGCAATTAAGCCAGGGCAAGGCCGAGGTTCAAGGAGTGGAGAGTCCATATTATTTTCCTATTTCTTTATCTTCTTTTACGTTTAGCTTCAGTTGTTGCCTCTCGCTGAAGAGAAAAGGATGACAGTCGGGAGGCGTAGCCGCCTTTTATACTGTGGGCCTGCGCGCGCATTCAGGTAGGCTCACCCGATTGGCCGGCTACGTTTATGCAACTCAGTAGGTGAATGCCCGCATAGCATGATAGTAGTAGAGAGTAGTACCCATAGAGTCCAGTAGAGGGCGGAGCCTGTGTGATATATAACCCCCACTCTCCCCAGTCCTTATCTCTCTGCAGTGGCGGCGCCAGGGTATGGCTGGGGTAGGCTACAGCCATACCAAGAAATGGCTTAGCCCCACCATGAAAAATGATGTTAAAGTAAGCAAAATAAAGTCCGCCAACTCGCGCAGAGTAAATTGCACAGACGGCAGTTAGTAAGATTGATTTCAGTAGCCACTTGTCTGGAAATACCGAAGACTAGAAACGGTTTTGAAAACTGTTGTCACGTAGTGATCGTCTTCTCAATAGAACATCTTTGATAATGTCTTCTGGCCAATCAGAATCAAGATAACGGCGTGGTGTTCTTGCAGGAAGTCCCGACGGAGAATACTTTTGCGGTAGTACATCTCTATATACATCGATACAACATTAAGTGTTGATAGAAATCAACACGTAATGAAATAAGACCCCACGGTTTGATGATTGATAGGTGTGTGGGCTGTCTTTCATTTTGACACACAGAACAATGGGGGCTATCCACAATGTAAAATAATTCACACAGCCTCTTCCCTCTTCTCTCTGTGAGGAGCAGCAGGTTCAGCTTTCAGAACAAAGTAACTAAAACAAAAATGGCGTGTATGTAATTACATTGCAAATACTGACTTGAGCCCCACCACTGTATGGGTTAGCCCTACCATAGATTACCCAACAAAAATACTCTGGCGCCACCACTGTCTCTCTGCCTCTCCTCCACATCGATGCCGATCATGTTTCTTTCTCACAGCTAACATCAACTGCTTTATGACAGCACGCCATCATCCTTTGAGTCAGTTCAATTTACTCCTCTTGTCAAACCTAAACTCATCTGATCAGACATCTCAAACTACAAAGCCGAATTGCTCCTTTAACATTTAATCCTCAACATGCTGTCTCCAATGAGCCGTTTAAAAAAGTTTTCCAAGGTACCTGCACAACTTAACCATGTATATCAGGTTTTTAAAGTCTGACAATGTGGGGCCTCCTGCCTCAGAAAATAAATCAAGACAACTGCTAGTAAAAGTATGTTAAATGAGCTATTAGCCATTTCTATTTGTACCCAGACAGCTGTCACTGAATTACTTTTATACTGAAGAAAACTGAAAAAAAGGAAGAGCTGAGCTGAGAGTGAGAGGAGGAGGAAGAGGTGGGGTGAGAGTGAGAGTGAGAGGAGGAAGAATGAGAGGTAGAGGTAGAGCTGGAGGGAGAGGACGTGGACAAAGAAGAATACTCTCTAATGAAATGAAATGTTATCAACCATGGTTTGACGATGAGAGAGGCTGGACACAGGGTTCAGCCTAATCTATTCTAAGCCGATTTACTGTCGCCTCTGTAATCCGGACACTTAGACTTGAAAACAGGTTAGTTACCAGTTTGTAGCTCTGCATAATTCATGATATATCAGTGCTTATATCTGTTGTGTGAAACGTATTGACTTCATTACTGTAATTGAATTGTTGGCATGTTGCATACTATAACTGTAAAAACATCCTGCACAATGTACTGTGGTAAATTCACTTTTATGCAACACAGACACTGACCAACACTATATCTTTGTTGTTTATCTGAAGGACTGAGAAAAAAAGAGGTGCAGGTGGAAGGCTAATGAGGCAGGAAGCAGCAGTTACAAACTTGGTTTTGGCAAACAATGCATCCCACTTAGAGAGATCCGAAGCATAGTAGCTATGTGCTGAGATGCATGTTGCACAAAGTTAGTTTTGAATAAAATATGATTTTTTTCAACAACTCATTTGTATTTCTTCATTTACTGTATTTCTGTAAACTCAAGCAATCTTTCTCTGCAGAACCCTCTATGTACAGAGCATAGCCCAGAACAGATGGAAGTGCTTTAGAGTATGCTCAGCAGTGTGTAGTTGGGTGGTCAAACCATCTAGTATTATGAATGAAGTGT